CCCCAAAACCCCAAAACCCCAAAACCCCATTACTCAATACTCAAAATTAAGATTAAATAGTTGAGAATTTAAATAAATATTTAAGTATTTTATTGATAATTTCACTCTTGAAGAAATTTAATATTCTCAGAGTTAGATTCCCGTTTTCTCACGTCATTCTGAATACAGATGAGATCTCCTTATTTGTTAAGTTTTTAGTTGGCCCGTAGGTACTAGCAAAAGCACAAATAATCGACAAAGATAAAATAATCAAGAATTGTGTCCAGGGGAAGAAGAAAATAAGTGGAATATCTGTAAATAGCATTTGTTAGACCACCATTGTAAATCCAACCATGGTACCAATGAGAATGCCCATTAGACTACTAGCCATGACTAATATAAATGCTTCATATATATAGAGCAGTTAGATTCTAGTTTTATTCATACCTATTGCTCTCATTACTCCTATTTCTTTTGATTGCTCATATAGATTAGCTGTCATTGAAGATGATAATGAGAAGAAGCATAAGAACATGGTTATTGCGATTATGACATTGAAAATCATGTTTAGAATTAGGTTAACTTGCTCAAATGTCTCCTATTAATCATTTGCATTGAATACTCTAGGATTTTCATTTCTCATTTCTGAGTTCTTCAGATCCTAGAGAAAAGCATCTGTTTGCTCCTTGTTTAAGGGATCCTTGAACATTACTACAAGTCTTTCATATTACACTTATCTCAAACTTTATAGTCCAGAAATTCTAGCATGCATCGGCAGAGAGACAAGAGCTGAATTCTTTTAGGAATTCTATTTTCTTGACTACATAGTGAATCCTGGAGCTCTATCAGTATTAAAGATGTTTCTCATAGTATAATAAATCTTTTTAGACTCTAGTTCAAGACTTAGAACCATATGGTTGTACAATGTTTTTTCTGGGTTATCAGCTCTTGCTTATTTAGCCATTACAGTGCCTACAGCCATTCCTTATGACCCTCTTGCAGTGTACAATTATTCAGCTAGAGGCATTCCAGTGGAATCGTTCTGAGAACCTATTTTTACAAAGTCATTAATCATTGCATCGAATATTGAAGGTTGAACACCATAAACGCCAGTATTAAATTGCTCAATCCTCGCTCTATCACTAGTCTTAATGCTTTAAATACCAAGTGTGTTTTTCCTTGAAGTGTCTGCAGTAATATATGTGAAGTCCTAAATGTTCTGCAAGTGTCTCTTGATCACCTCATCATATACTTTGGGGTCAATTTGTTATCCTTTGTCTGCAGTATCAATTATCAAATATCCTCCTTCTTTCTAGAGAGCTAAAAGCTACACGCTCTAAAGTTGTAAATTATAGGAGACTATCAAGAAAATAATAAAGCCAAGAGCTAGTGAAAAGATAAGACTTGTCATCTTGTTTCTAATTTTATGTGCTAACAAATTTTTCAATACCATTTGTCTAAAAGACTTCTTTTCATAGATAAGCATTACATTTACTAAGATAATTTCAAGCACTCTTTAAAGATTGAAAGCCAAGAGGGTCAATCCAAGAAGCATACCCACTAGAATAAAGAAGAAGATGCTTAAAATCATTTTGAAATCAAGTTCTAAGATTGATATAGGCAGATAGTAGAAGATTGAAAGACCATACACTACTGCAATCATACCAAATATCACTTGATAAGTCACACTTTATTGGTCCTCTTTCTTTAAAACTTCAACGTAAATAGCTTGCTATTTGCTTCTTTGATAATCAAGTGAATCGTTAAGCTCTTTTTCTAAGCTTGACTTTATAGGATAGATAGAAGCAAGCATAGGGATAATAAAGCCAATAGCAAGTGCTTGAATGACAGAAGCAGTACTTGGTATTGGATCATTAGGTATTCCAAGATCCTTTGTTAATAGTCTGTCATAAATAATTCCAAGCACTGGGAAACTAAATGCAAATCCAGTTATAATAGCAGGTAACACAAACATCAGTCCTTGTAATAAAATCATTATGACGATTCCGTACTTGCTTAATCCTACCATTCTCATTACTCCGATTTCAAATGTCTTTGTCTCTACACTAATCATCAGTAATGAGTAAATCAACAGCACAGAAATAACAACAAATAAAAGAATGATAATGTCAAAGATGAGTCCCATAAAGAGCACTGCGTATGAGTAATTTTTTAGAACATTTAATATATCCAATGATATATTTACTGGATAGTAACCTAAATCTTTAACTAAGCCAGCTGCATATACACTGATTTTTCTTTATGTCTCTTCATAATTAGTACTTTCATAGTAGGATACTCTTGGTGTGGGTAAACTGAGTAAAAGAACATCAGCATATTCTTCAAGTGTAACCTTTGATTAATCTCTTAAGAATTATTTGAAATCCTCATTGTTTTTATGTGCTTCCGGAAGATAGTTAGATAAGATATTAAGGAACTGGCCATACTCCATGAAACCCATCTGCCCTGACTAAAGCATAATATCAGGGAATTTTCCATAGGAGTTACTCATAATTCTTACTACTTTGCATGGGATTCTAAATTTGGTCTAGAATAAAGTAATTTAGGAAAGCTGCTTCTGTCCTTGCTATACTGCATATCTATTGTACTTGTTGATAAGACCATTGTATAAAGTACTCAAGTACATTTGATAATATATCATATCGCCTTCTTATACATTAAGGTTTTCAGCTTATTTTTGTGTCATACTACACTCACCATATTTCATAGGCTCAAATTCATATAACCTTCCAATCTCATTTTTCTATTCTAGCTTTGTATCCCAAAGCATCAAGCATGCAGGCTGCAATGTTTGAACATTAGGACTATAAGCTTAGTCCCTTGATGGCATATTAGTTGAAGGATCATATTAAGCTCTCCATTTAGCCATCTCAGATTCATCTTCGTGATCGATGATGTTCTTGTTATTTTGGTCGCTACCAATTTTAGAACCACAAAATGTTTTTCTAGGGCTCAGTCTATAATCATCTGTTGCAAGAGCTTCCATGACTCTTGTATAGTTTAGCATATTGTCATCGCTCATAGTACTGAAAGCCTATTTACTATGTTCACCGTTGCTTCCAGAAATTACTCCATCTATTTCCCCTTCTGTTCCCTCAACCACTTTCAAAAAGATAATCGGACCTCTTTAGACCAAAGTATTCACTACAAGTGAAAACATAACCACTATGAATACTGAGCAGAATGCTAGACAAAAGTGGCACTTCTTTCTCTTGATATCTCGATAGGAGTGTCTAGCGAAGAATTATATGGTGCGAGACAAACTCATTTCATCGGGGGCATCATTCAATTTCTTATATATCTTCTATCTAAAGTCAATGAGTCAAGATGACGTATTATAATATTTAATAGTCAAAGGTGAGATAATAAATTCAAAAACTTACCTATCTTCAGAGTTGTCGTAAACTTTAGTTTAATCATTCTTGTAATTGAAATCAGCTTAACTATCATCTTAAGTTTAAGAAAGTAGACCCTCTTTATATTGCTAGTTTGAAGACTTTGAGGTAATTTTTGAATGTGAGGTCAACTTTTTATATGAATCTGACATTTTAATGTATTTTTATACTTAATTAAAGTCTTTACTAAGTTTATTTATATGTTTTATATTCTTGACTTAGTATACAATCATAACAATAAACATTATAATGATTAAGAATATTTATTTTGGAAAAATTTCATCTATCTATCAAAAGAACAACGGGGTTTTGGGGTTTTGGGG